CATTCCTCAGAGACATTCAAGAAAACCTAAATAAATAGAGATATATATCATGCTCATGGATTAGAAAACTCAGTGTTGCTAAGATATCAATTCTCTCCCAACTAATCTACAGATTAAATGTAATCCCCTGAAACAGCTGGACATCCACATGGAAAAGAATGAAGCTGGACCCCTTACTCACACCATACACAAAAGTCAACTCAAAATGGATCATACACCAAAATATAGGAGCTACAAGTATAAAGTTCTTAGAAGAAAACATAGGAGTAAATCTTCATGATCATGAGTTAGCCAAAGACTTTTAGATATGACACCAAAAGCACAAGCAACAAACGAAAAAATAGATAAGTGGGACGTCAACAAAATACAAAACTTGGTGCTTCATAGGATACAATTAAGAAAGTCAAAGGACAACCAACAAAACATGAAAAATTACATGTGAATCATATATCTGTTCCGGGACTTGTATCCAGAATATATATAGGGCTCTTACAACCCAGCAATAAAAAGACAGATAACCCAGTTAAAAATGGGCAAAGAATTTGAACAGACATTTCTCCAAAGGAGATATACAAATGGTCAATAAGTACATGAAAAGACTATCAACATCATTAACTATTAGGAAAACGTAAATCAAAACCACAAGACTTACCACTTCACATGGCACCACACACGTGAATGGCTATAATCTGAAGGAAAGAAGCATACGTACTGGTGAGTGTACAGAGACACGGAACCCCCGACACTGACAGTGGGAGGGTAACATGGCGGAGCCTTTGGAAAACAGCCTGACAGTTCCTTAAAATATTAAGTATAGAATTACCATATGACCTCGCATATACTCAAGAGAAAGAAACACATGCCCATACAAAAAAACTGTCCAAGGGTAGCACATGCATAGCAACATTATTCATAATAGCCAAAAAGTAGAAACGACTGATAGGACCATCAACCTCTGAACAGATAAACAGAATAATATGGTATACAATGGGATGTTAACTGATCAGCAATAAAAAGAAGTACTGACACCTGCTATAACACAGATGAACCCCTGAGACATTATGCTACATGAAAGAAGATAGTTACCAAAAACCCAGAGTTGCATAATTCCACTTCAATAAATGTCCAGAACAGTCAGTTCTACAGAGACAGAAAGTCAGTTTTCAGATGCCTGAGCCAGGAGCAGGGGAGACGGTAGAAAAGGAGCGAGCGCTAATTCACACAGGTTTCTTTTCGGAGTGATTGAACATTTTCTACAGTTGATTGTGGTGATGGTTGCACAACTCTGTAAATATTCTAAAAACTATTTAATTTTATGCTTCAGATGGGTCATTTTATGGTATGTGATGTAAATCTCTATAAGGCTATCTTTTAATGTAATCCTCATCAAAATCCCAGCAGGCTTTTTTGTAGTACTAAATAAGCTGATTTTAAAGTGTATATGGAAATTCAAAGAAGAGCTAAAATACTTTTGGGGGAAAAAAAAACAAAGCTGAAGGACTCATAGTACCTGATTTCAAGACATTTGCCCTAAAGCTATAGTTAGATTGTCGGCCTAAGGACAGTCCTAAAGACCACTGAAATAAAAGCGGGCAAAACCAGATCTGCATGGTATTATCACATCAGTTGGTTTTCACCAAAGGTGCCGACAGCATTTAGTGGGCATAGAATAGTCTTTTCAACAAATGGTATTAGAACAACGGGAAAACCATATGTAAGATAAACCTCAACACTTATATCATATATAAAAATTAACTGAAAATGGATCGTACACCCAAACAAAAGCTAAAACTATAAAACTTCTAAAAGAAACTGTAGTGGGCAATTGTAATGATCTTCAATTAGGCAAATATTTCATTGTTAGAGAAAAATACAAAAAGCACAAACCAGACATACAGATGGCCAAAAGGCACGTGAAAAATGCTCAGCATCACTAATTATTAGAGAAATGCAAATCAAAACTACAATGAGGTATCACCTCACAACAGTCAGAATGGTCATCATCAAAAAGAAGAAATGCTGGAGAGGGTGTGGAGAAAAGAGAACCCTCCTACACTCTTGCTGGGAATGTAAATTGGTGCAGCCACAATGGAGAACAGTATGGAAGTTCCCTAAAAAACTAAAAACAGAGCTACCATATGACCCAGCAATCCCACTCCTGGGCACATATGCAGAAAAGATGAAAACTCTAACTGGAAAAGATATATGCTCCCCTATGTTCATAAGCAGCACTATTTACAATAGCCATGACATGGAAGCAACCTAAATGTCCATCAACAGATGAATAGATGAAGAAGATGTGGTACATATATACAATGAAATATTACTCACCCATAGAAAAGAATGAAATAATGCCATTTGCAGCAACATGGATGGACCTAGAGATTATCATACTAGCGAAGTAAGTCAGAAAGAGAAAAACAAATATCATATCACACCACTTATATGTAGAACCTAAAAAAAGGATACAAATGAACTTATTTACAAAACAGAAATAGACTCACAGACATGGAAAATAAACTTATGGAAAATAAACCAAAGACATGGAAAATAAACCAAAGACCAAACTTATGGAAAATAAACCACAGACATGGAAAATAAACCAAAGAGGGGGGAGAGGGATAAATTGGGAGTTTGGGATTAAAATATATACACTACTATATATAAAATAATTAATCAACAAGGACCTACTAGAGTTCCCTACACGGGCAACTAAACTCAATATCTTGTGATAACCTATAATGGAAGAGAATGTAAAAAAAGAATATACACATTATATACATGTATATATATATATATATATGTGTGTGTGTGTATAACTGAATCATTTTACTGTACACCTAACTAACACAACATTATAAATCAACTATATTTCTATTCAAAAAAGATTTTTTTTAAGGCACAAACCAAAACAGAAAAAGGTGATAAACTGTATTTCATCAAAATGGAAAAAACCTCTGCTTCTCAAAAGACAGGTCAGAAACTTGACAGAAATATTCACAATACATCTTTCTGATAAATGATTTACAATCAAAATATGTAAAGAACTCTAAGAATTCAGTAAAACCAAAAATTTAAAATTAAAAAAATGTAAAAAGATTTGAACAAGCACTTTATACACAAAAAAATTCAAAGGGCCAATAAACATACGAAAAGACGCTCAACATCACTCATGATTAAGGAAATGCAAATTAAAACTATAATCATATCACACTTAACAAAAAATACGCATGGCTTTTATGCAAAAATATTATAAAGCTATAAAGTAAATTAAAGGATGTGTCATGTCATTGGATTTGACGCAACTCCAATCAAAATCCCAATACAGTTTTTTCATTGACCTTGACAACAAGTTTGTAAAATTTATATGGGAGAACAGAGACATCCCTATATACACTATTGATACTACGTATGAAATAAATAACTAATGAGAACCTACTGTAGAGCACAGGGAACTCAGTGCTCCGTGGTGACCTAAATGGGAAGGAAATCCAAAAAAGATGGATTTGTGTATATATAGAGCTGATTCACTTTGCTGTACAGTAGAAACTAACACAGCATTGTAAAGCAACTATACCCCAATTAAAAAAAAAAAAAGACCTCGGCTCAGACACCACTAGGCCCGGGAGGAGCTGTTTTTGGCCATCAGCGTCCAAGGCTCTGAAACAGCCTGTGGGATCACCTGGTGTCGGCAAGTGGAGGTGAGGATGCAGAGTGGACGGGGAGGACAAGGGCCGAGCTCTTTCCCGATGTGGAGACTCCAGTGTGACTGCTATAGCCAGAGCAATAAGGATGGGTGATTGTTACCTCCCACCGTGGGAGGGCTTCCTTACCACCTACTTTAACACACAACAGGAGAAGGAGGTGAGTGAGAAGCAGATGCAGAGACAGTAAGGAATTTGCACAGATGCACACAAGAAGTGACAGGGCAGGTAGAGTTTGAGTGCAAAGCCCCACTTTTCCGACTTCAACTACATTCAAATTTCCCACTCTGAGCAACGAAGAGATATAAGAAAGACCTGAAATGGAAACTCTGATCAGCCTCAATCGCTTCTAATTTTCCCAGGAAGGCACCTTCTTCTCCACACATGCAAAAAGATCACCAAGTATTTCAGGGTTATGATTTTAGACTACGTCCAAGTGATTTTCTTAATATCATACTTTTATATTACCTCTCTCAAAAAAATGTAAGAACCGTTGACAAATATTGTACCAGATGTGTCCAAAATTATCTAGAAACTTTTCATTCTCTTCTTGTAACTTACAGTTGAAAGATAAAGATCACATATTTTAACAGGCTTTACATTTAAATATGTTAGATTGTTCAACACCAGAAAGGAGAGAGGAAGCAAAGCCAGATTATTCACAGGAGAAAAACTGAAACTATCTGATGAATCAGTCACTTCCTTTCATTCCTAACTCCGCTGAGAGAAGTTTCCAGAGCCTTCAGGGTGCCCTAGGTTGAAACCCCCTTTATTTTGACTCTTTTCGCACAAAATACCTCCCACTCTTTCTCTTTTTGGTCTTTGGTGCAAACTGTTGCCACAGGCAAACACAAGTCTGGTTCAGCATCTAGAGTCACAACAGCTACTGTCACCTGGTCCAGGTGAGTGACTAGATTGTGTCTCAGCCGCGAACAGGATGCTGGTCCAAAACAGCACAGCAGGAAAAGCCCAGCGGGTAACTCAAACACATACTTGTTTGGGGCATTTGGCACCAAAATGAATAGCTGGCTAAGCAGGTGGTTTCGAGTTTTAACCTACAGAAAACAAACTATGACAAGCAAATGGCATCTGCTAATCAGTAATCACTTTGTGATTCTTTTAACAGCAGCGGAAAGTCCTCCTACTGGAAATGAACCGTTACTTGGAGTTGTTTTCATGTGAGTCTGAATTTAATAAAACTGATTTTCTAGTAACTCTAAATTCTGTGTTGTTTATGATCTCCAGCTCATCCCAAATGATGGAAGCTGTACTAAAAGCCTCATGCCTGTTCTATACAGCATCTTCCCATGAATTCTGAAAAGGATGTTTGTGTTTCTCTTTCCAAAAATGCTGCTCTGTGGCCCATTCATAGCTTGTGCTCCTGCACCTAGACCCAGTGTTGCAAAGAAGGCCTTGGACAAAGGGGAAAACGCCCCGGCTGGGCAGATCCCGGGGTTGCAAATAACCTGGATGTGGATACAAGGCAGAAATGAGTCCATATGACTGGTCCCAGAAATGGAATACCTAGTGAGTTCGGTAACATGTAATACCATGTTGTTATATTATTAATCCTGTTGTTTATTTAAAGGAGCTCCGAGCAGTCCAACAGAAAAAAGAAAAAAGGTAAGAAACCGTTTGCAATAACCACTTTCCCCCAGGGTCTGCACACAGGCTTCAAGCCAGGACGGCTCTGCCTGGCCGCATCTTCCCGCCAGAGGAGTGTTAATATCTCTGTCAGGCACCCTCACCTACAGATGCTGTGAACAAGCTGTAGGCGGGAAGAATCAGAGCAGACACTTCCTCTCGTCTCATACAAAAAACGGAGGAATTCTTAGTCTGGGAAATTTTTCAAGTCTCACACACCTTGGATTCTTAATGTTTAAGTGTAGTTGCTAAAGATGATTTAATGCAAAGATGTTTAGAAAAACTGGATAGGGTCCAAGGTCTTTCAGGACAAATGTTGGTACAATAAGCCACTTCCTGGAGAAAAGGGAACCCTCCTACACTGTTGGTGGGATTATAAGTTGGTGCATCCACTGTGGAGAACAGTATGGAGATTCCTTAAAAAACTAAAAATAGAACTACCATACGACCCAGCAATCCCACTCCTGGGCATATATCTGGGCAAAATCGTAATTCAAAACGACACATGCACCCTAATGTTCATAGCAGCAACATTCACAATATCCAAGACCTGGAAACAACCTAAATGTCCATTGACAGATGAATGGATAAAGAAGATGTGGTACATATATACAATGGAATATTACTCAGCCATAAAAAGAAACAAAAGGATGCCATTTGCAGCAACATGGATGGACCTAGAGATTATCATACTAAGTGAAGTAAGTCAGACAGAGAAAGGCAAGTACTATACAATATCACTTATATATGTGGAATCTAAAATATGACACAAATGAACTTAGTTATGAAACAGAAGCAGACTCACAGACATAGAGAACAGACTTGTGGTTGCCAAGCTTGTGGGGGGGATTGGGATAGATTGCGAGTTTGGGCTCAGTAGATGCAAACTATTACATATAGGATGGATAAACAACAAGGTCCTACTGTACAGCACAAGGAACCATATTCAATATCCTGGGATAAACCATAATGGAAAAGAACAAGAAAAAAAACAATGTCTCTATGTGTATAACTGAGTCACTTTGCTGTACAGCAGAGATTGACACACATTGTAAATCAACTACACCTCAGTAAAAAAATAAAATAAAATAAAAATAAGCCACTTTCCTCCATAAAATGCTGGTCACATGGGCCCTCCACTCCCCCTTCACATCACCATATGGACGGAAGAGTCGGGGTGCTGACGAGTGCAGACAGCTCAACCAGCACTAACCCAGTATGCTGTAGCTCGTAAAACCCTGGTGAAAGGCTTTCCCCTCCATTCTGGTTTGGTCTGGGCGATAATCTTACTCTCTGGGACTTGGGAACCCGCTAGGCCCAGCATTCAGCTCAGTGCTTTGCCCATGACAGTCAGTAAATGTTCGGTGAATGAAGGAAAGACAAATGAGTAGACTTCTCAGCTGAAGGGGCAGGGGAGTTCTCAACTCAGGACCCGGCCCTGTCCTAGCACTGGAGACCACGAAGGGATGGGGTCACATTCCAGCTAGTAACTGTGATTTCTGTTCCCGTCTCCCTCGGGGACACGCAGGAATGGTGCTCACCTAAACGAGGTGTACAGTAACACCGGCCACCCCAGGACAGCGGGCGTGCGAGAGACGGGCGTGGATGTTTGCTGGCCATCTCCTCTGGGCCATACCCTGTGCCGGGCACAGGCTTGGAACCGACTTTCTCACTGAGTCCTCGGTGCAGCCCTGAAGGCAGGTAAAATCAGCTGCCTTTATGGAAAAGAGACTCACAGGGCTAGACCCCTCGCCTGGGCTCACACATCAGGGTGTGGCAGATGGGGCTTCAAAGTGTGGACCTCAGTGATTAGGGCTCGGGACCCCTCTGAGACTGAGACGAAGTCTTCTCTTCCCTGCACACGCTCATCTGCGTCAGCCTCTAAAAAACATCTCCGATGTTCCCAAGGCCACTTCTTCGTCGGGACTGTACTCCTGACAAAAAGTAAGAGCTTGGGTAAATGCTTCAGGACGGGCATCATCCTTTAGCATAAGGAACACCCTAGGCTGCTGGTCCCACGTGCCGGGGCTGCCCTGTAACACACAGCGTTGTAGACTTGATGCTCTGTTATCAGTGATGAAATCACTCAAGATCTTCATCAGCCGCTGCTGACCGGGGTCTGGCCCTCAGTCCTTGACGGCACGTCATCCACCTGTGACACCGACGTTCCCGCCTGCTGTCTTGCCCCCAGCAGCAGTCCCGCCTTACTTCTCCTGGACGTTGTTGCCTGACCTCGGGGCCCATGCAAGGCCCTTCTGTTTGTTGTCTCTTTTCACTTTCTCCTTTGCCTCCCCACTTCCTGCCCAGCCCTTGACGCAAGCCACACCCAGTGCGTTTGCTACAGGTCCTCAAATATGCCTGCACACAACCTTGTGAAAGGAGCTTTGTACCCTTGCATTTTTAAAGTATATAAATGACACGCTATTTTTTCAAAAAGACTTTTCCAAAATACCCCTGTCCACTTTCAGAATGCATATTTCGATCAAGACTGACAGTTGAGGACTTCCCTGGTGGTCCAGTGGTTAAGACTCCATGCTTCCATTGCAGGGAGTGTGGGTTAGATCCCTGGGCAGGGAACTATGATCTCACAAGCTGCCCGGCGCGACCAAAAAAAAAAAAAAAACTGACAGTTGATATAACTGAGAAGGAATTATTTATTCAGACCTTACCATTTCTCACTGCAAATTCCACATCACTCTTCATGTCACTGCAGCCTGCCTTCCTTGTCCCCACCCACCGAGCCGCCCTGGGCAATGGCACCAATGCCCCCGACAGGACATGTCAGCCCTCCCCCTGCCCACGTGGCAACAACACCTGTGACTGCTCACCGTGGCCGCCCTGAGTGCTCCCCACGTGGCTCCACGGCCTCCTCCTGTCCCTCTGGCCTGCCCCCCTTGTGCCCCTCACGAGGCCTGGTCTCAGGAGCTTCTCCCCTTCGGGGGTCCTCCCGGCCACACGGAGCACAGCCCCCGAGCCCCTCCTGTGTGTCCTCAGTTCAGAAGGGTGCCCCTCCACCCAGGTGTCCCAGCGGGAGGCCCCCTCTCCTCACAAGCCCCAGCCCACTGTGGTCCCCGCTTCGCCTCGAAGGAGCCTGTCCTCTTCCTCCCGCTCAAGCCAGGCCTGGTGACGCAGTGCCCCATGACTCACCTTGTGTTCCCCGGTGCCCAGCCCCCCATCTCAAGTGCACCTCTGCCTGCACCTAGAGCGCTGCCCCACGTACTCCTCCCAGGAGGAACTTCCTGAAACCATTTGGTGGCTGCTCGTGCCCTTTGGGAAGTCACCATCCTCAGCATCCTTCAAAGCCTTCACTGATCTGAACCTGCTTGTTCCTCCAGCCACACTCTGCTCCTCTGAACTCCTTTTAGTTCCAGTCTTCCCCACGCTGTCTGCCCTGCCCAGATCCTTCCTCCCTTGAACTCTTTTATCTGAAAGAGTTTCCCATTTGCTAACTCCTCAGAAGCCTTTCCCTAGAATGGAGCGGCCACCTCTCCTCTGTGCTCACATGCACCCTCTACAGAGTCCCATCATGCCATTGTCCCACTGATCATAATAGTCTGGCCCCACAGTCAGTCCTGGAAGGGCAGGGAAAATACCTTGTCCACAACTTCATCCTCAGCAAGGCCTGGGACACGAAGGCACTCAAAACATTATTTGCCAAATGAATAGATACATTAATTCACTATTGTGAATGGTGACATGCTATTTTAGATAAAAGCCATCCCTTGGTAATTTTTATTCATGCAACATTTTTAGAGTTAACCACATTATCCATATTTCAAGTGGATGTAAGTCTCATAGAAACAAAATAGGCAGTCATTTCTCAAGGAGTGATGCTGTTGAGGTTTCAAACCAGATAAACAAAATGGTCTTGCTGATAAAGCTCCTGGAGCAGAGAAAGTTGTTAATAATGGTTTCTCAATGCATCACTACTATGACTGTTATCACCATCATCACCATCATCACCACCATCACCATCATTACTATCATTGTCATCATTATCATCATCATCCCATCATCACCATCATCATCATCATCCCATCATCACCATCATCACTATCACTGTCATCACCCCACCATCAGCATCATTACTATCATTGTCATCATTATCGTCATCATCCCATCACCACCATCACCATCATCATCATCCCATCACCACTATCACCATCATCACCACCATCACCACCATCATCATCACTATCATTGTCATCACCATCATCACCATTGTCAACATCATCACAATCCTCACCACCCTCACCATCATCACCACCCTCATCGCCATCATTGCCATCCTCAATATCCCACCACCATCACCACTATCATGTTGAAAAACTGAAATGCATCTGCCCCCTTTTACCTCTTCCTCTATTCTTTCTATATTGATAATGACTTATATACCTATTCCCAAATTAAGGCAATTTAGTTCAAGGAATAGATCTATCTGCTAGATAGAGCAAACATGTGTGAACATCATTCTTAAGAGAAAAAAATCTAAATTGATGCTTACTGGCACATACCCCAGAAACAGAGATTATGATATTACAACAGAACTCTATCCATTCATTTCACTCAGGATTCAGAATTTATAAAGGACAACAACAAAAAAAGAATGCTGCGTTTTCTTCTTCTGATGTTTGTAATTCAAAAAGTGTCATAAAAGTAAAACTCACAATTGTCTCTAGGTCTGGGAGGTTCTTGAAAACGAAGTACTAACAGAATCATAAACAGAATACACGGCCAGAAGAATTCACCCAGGGAGAGGACCTGGAAAGTTGTAAAAAAATAATTAGTGTTTGATAGAGTCGAAAAGCATTACAATATCTCCATCTCTTGAAGGAGGGTTTACAGGCCAGACCAGGCTTCCTTTAAAGGAGGTCATTGTCATCCCTACTGTGTGTCCCTGAGAACAATCATTTGAGACGAGGCCCCACGGAGATGGCCCCAGTTCCCTCGTCACTGTATCCAGATCCACGACTGTCAGTTCCCGGTCCTTCTCCCACCAGACCTGGCTTCTGCTCCTTCCCTGTTTCTCCACATATTTATTTATTGCAGACTTTATGACATTAAAGACATTAAACAAACAGCTTCGTCCATATTTCTCACACTCCAACAAATTCACTAGTTTATTTTTCTAACTATTTTAACATTCCTGACTTTTCCATCCAAGTAGATATTTTCCCAAAGTTGGTGGTGGCAGCCACTTACCTTCATTTTATGAATATTTTCTAATGATGCCACACAAGGTTCATAACCATCATCTTACTGGTTATCTAACATTCTTACAAATGAATATATCATAATTCACATTTTTCTATCAATTCATTTTTTGCGTATAAATAATTTTTCTTTTAAATTACTTTCTTCAGACTGGAACAAACTCTGAAAAATCAGCTTATTGGAGTCAAATCTCTTGACACAGACTGCAAAAGAGCTACCCATAGGGATTGAAATAATTTGTATAACCCTGAATTTTCAAAGTCAAAAGAAAAGGCACTGCCATCTATACACATAATTTAATTATTTGAGAAAGAAATACCTAAGGTATAGCCCAGTGAAAAATTAATTAATAGAAAATCCTCAATTATCACAAGATTATTTTTACTGTCATCATTCTACACTTGTTTTTTGGTGGACAATGTTCTTCTATTGGCTTCCACTCAGTTTACAAATACAAAAGTTTACAGCCAGACACAGAACAAGCAAGGCATTTAATACCACAGAAACAAAAACCTAAAAATCTGCAGGTTAGGTTAAGGACGCTGTCAACACTAAAAAGCATGTCTTGTTCTTTCAGACTCTTGAGTCATGATGCTTTGAACTAAAGTGAACTTCCTGTCACTTTACTGCCTTGGTCTTTGAGCTCCCAGGCCTATCCCCCTGTCCCAGCCCTTCCCGGTAAGGTCGAGCAAATGGACCTACGTGTGCCCAGGTGAGTGTTATGTGGCCTGAAACCATAAAGACAAAACCCAGATGGGAAAGAATGTTTCCATCCCTGGTGTAATTAAAGAAGAAAAGAAATCACCCTCTTGGAGACGGGTCATGAGGAAGTATTTCTTGTGCCAGAAAGTGCATCATTATGGAAAGTTCTCTGAGAAAGTGCTGGTATCCAATACCATCCACCCTGATAACAGAGAAAATGCCCACAAGAGGGCACCCTCTGGCTCAAAATGTAGCAATTAAACCAGAAATAAGGGTCACAAACACACAGAAGACCATAAAACTTAAGTCACCTGTTCATTCTCTGTAACAAATGAGTCATTTCTTGGAGTACAGGTTGGGGTAGGGGGGAGTACTTAATTAATTCTGGCTGAATATAAATGTACAAAATAGAAAATATACCTCAGATTAAACAATAACTTGACACCATTAAGAAGAGTAAATATATAGTTAATTGGGATTTTTTTTAATTTTTTAATAATATAAGAGCCATTTTTAAGACAAAAAAGTATAAGGAAAACAGAGCCAAGAATCATAGCTACTTTTGATATTATAAATAAGTAAATATATGTATGGTTAGGAAATTCAAAAAGTACAGGAAGAATGCAACCACTCTCCCAAAAGATAAATTATTCGAATGGTTTTCTTAATTCATTTTTTTAAAGACATAAATAAATATAACAAGTGTTTTTGGAAATTATTTGTCATATCAGCACTTATAGATCAGCCTCATTGTTTTTGAAGACTATATAATAATCTACTGTAGAATTTAAGTTACTTAAATTTGCGAAGTTATGGAATTTGCGAAGTTTTCTGTTTGGGGCCAGTGCTATCATGAGTTTCCAAACAACCGTGAAGTCCCCTCCTTCCTGCCAAGAGTTCCAGGAGGGAAGCTCCCCTGGGAGACGGCAGAAGTGCCAGTCCTGCACCCCCAAATTCCGCATCCCACAGCAATGGTTACGGATGCCCTTGCCTCGGTTCCCTCAGAACAGCTGAGACACCACTGCATTTTGGGGGCCCGTAACAATACATGCGTACAAATACATAAATAGAGGAGCCCTGGGTAAAACGGTGTATTGAAATCTTCTCACAGACTTTTTCTTTTCCCAGACAAAACAAGAGGGAGGAAAAGGAAAAGAAATGAAGTCAGAGGAGACAGCTGTGGGGGGCGGTGGGGATCTCACAAGCCCACCCGGGTCGGTCCCAACTCGGCCCGAAATCTGCAGAGCAAGGGACTCTCCCCCATACATGCATCAGTGGAGTCAGGGGCCCTGAAGGACCCCTTTTCTCCTTCTTCTGACAGTGGAGGTGGAAAAATGGCTGCTGGAACATTCAAACTATGACACACAGAAAGTGAACAAGGAGCCTGACTCTGCTGGAGATACCCCCAGGGCTACACATAAAAACAGAAAAAGAATCCAAAGTTGGAGATCCACTTCCCTAACTGGATGGGTGAATGTGGTGTAAAACCTTTAACAAAATCTCAAAGGAGAGCATGGAGCCTGGCTAGGCTAATATGCCTGCATCTCATCCCCACCAGCATCCCAACCATTCCTCATGCTGGAGAAAACTGGCACATATAGGATGTGCTCAGACACTGCATCAGAGTTTGAAGGAGAAATCAAACTTGTCTCAGGATGACTGAAAAGAGAGTCAAGGACAAATACAACACCTGGGCTAAGCGGACCAAGCATCAGTCACATGAAAACGAAGAGTGAAACAGCTATCTAAACATTCTGGAGGGAAGCAGACAAACAAAGCCAGCAAAAGAAAGCCATGGCCATGGCTGGAAAAGAAACAACTCAGATAAAATGAAGAATTTCTTTACAACTGTTTCATAAAGAAGAACAATTTAGTAAGAACAAACATTCAGAAAACAAGAGCTGATAAAAAAGATGATAAATAAATAAATGAAAAGAGAAGTTGCAGATCTAAAGGATTAAAATAACCAAAAAGAATCATAACTGTGGAACTCTAAATGATTTAGAAACCACAAAACAAAGATAACAACACTGATTTTAAAAATATAAAATAAAAAAAACAGTTTTAAAGGCAAAAATATTAACACAAAAAGCTAACAGAATCAGCTTTGAAAAACAAAAGACTCCACAGCATAAGGATAATTGCCATCCCTGAAGCAGAGAATCCAACAAATGGAACAAAAAATATGCTCAAAGACATAACACGGGAGAATTTCCCTAAAACAGAGAAAACGTTATTTCAAGACTGGGAGAGTACGCCATATTTCTGAAAACTAAGCTGCAGCTGAACTAGAGCTATTGAACCTCCAAGATAAAGGAAATATACTGCAAATAGCCACACGAGGAAATACATCTACCTGGCCTCAAACATATGCTCAAAATATTCAGTGCTAGATAACAACGCATCAATATTTACAGAGTTCTAAGAGAAAGGAAGTGTGATAAAAACACAATACCCAGCCAAAATGACCCTTAAATAAAACCAGCATACATACATTCTCAACCATAAAAGAACACAGATGGTTACTAACCATGAACCCTAAGGGGAAAAAGGCTTAGCAATGAAATCCAGCCGAAATGAAAATAGGACAAAACTAAAAATCCAATTAATATCACTCTGCTTTCGATACACTGACCAGCAACAATAGGGCAACGCCTGCTGGAAGAATAGAGTTTTGTTGCATTGCTGATCTTACAGAAATGAGAGAGTAAAAGAAATCTCCAAAGAGCTCGGAGGAGAGAATTGACAAAAGAAATTAATTAAAAAGAATAAAGAAGTCATGAGTTGAATCTTTAACTGCAAGGTTGAATTACAAAAGAGAGCGTACCCCTCAAGGGGGATGGAGAGAAAGCAGGTGAGGCATTTAAATAGCTAATGGCTGAGAATTTTCCAGAACATATAAAGTGCACAAATTCCACTGATACAAGAAATATAACATGTACCAGGAAACATAAATCCACATTAACAGCTTCAGCACAGGAGTCAAAGAGGAGATCCCAATTCAAGAAATAAGACACACTACCTCAAAGGAATAAGTAGACTTATCAAAGACTCATTAACAGTGGGAAACCAGAAGACAATTAAATATCTTTAGATTACTTGGAGAAATTTGGTTGATCTAGAATTGTGTACCCAGAAAACTCATCTCTCAAAAATGAGGGTAAAAGAATATTTTCAGATAATCAGAAACCAAGTTATCCAACATAAGGACACAGACTGGAGGAAAGTAAAGAGACAAAAAATATATACTAGGTAAATAGTAAACAAATTAACTACGGTAATGTCAGACAAGAGACTTGAAGACACAGAGCACTATTAGATACAGAGAGGATCACTACATAATAAAATAAGTGATGCAATAGGAAAATATCATAATTTTATGCATTTATATGCTTAATAAATGTAATCAAAATAAATAAAGCAACAACTGATAGAACTACAGAAAGAAAATTCCGAAGTTACTTTCGTAGGAGAATTCAATCCTATCTCGCCATCATTCTCATAATTTTCAGTAAGAAATTGTTTGTTTGTTTGTTTGGCCACACGGCATGCGGGATCCTAGTTCCCCAGCCAGAGATCAAACCTGTACCCCTGCAGTAGAAGCGGGGAGTCTTAACCACTGGACCGCCAGAGAAGTCCAGAAAGTGTATTTTTAAAATAAAACACCATTACAGTTCTTTTTTTCTATCAACTATTCATTGTCATCCAAGAGTAAAGACATTAAAAATGCAGCAAGCTTATAAAGTACTATTTTCTAAAAGAAATAGAAGGAATTTTCATCTTTATTATCTTACTTTTGGTCATGCAAACACTTTGATGATATAAATCTTTATGTCTCCCATAAATCTGGTCAGAAATCACTTTTGATTTTGTTGACTAAGTTAAACATTCTATAGTAGGATAAAGTACTGAGTACAAGTGGTCCGAAGCAAGATAAAAGACTACAATAAAAATGCTAGATCTTAAGAAAGAAACTGGTGAATGCACTAAACGTTTTGTGCCTTGGTTTAGTATTACATGATGTCTGTGTAAAATGACAAAAAGAACCAGTGTTGAATCACGTTATATTTCTGGTCACGCTGCATTATCCCAGATTGCTAAATGTGTTCTTTCTGAGAAGCCTGATTGAATAACTATATACATTTACTGTCCTATGTGACAGTGTTTTCATTGTTAGAGATTTCAGTAATTAAAGTGGGAAACAGAAGCTTAGGTTATTTTCCTTAACAAAACTATGCTCCTTGGACCCACATTATTATGATGGTTTCGTGCTCTTATACATCGGATGTCTT